ATATATATAAATATAAATTTTCTTGTATTGCAGAAAATATTTTTAGATATCCTAACTAAGTATAATCTTATTTTTTTTAATCGTAAATTATTATTAATCGTAATTATTTACTTTTTTTGTCTATTTAAAACAATGTTCGGCAATGTGAAGTATCACATGATTTATAAATTTGTACGGCCAAAAAAACTTGTAGAGAACGTCGTAACGATAATGTCACGTGGATAAATGGAAAAGAGGCGGCCTCGCGTTCTTGCAGCACGACACTTTCAATTTACCGTCTGTTTTTCCAAGGGTTCGACTCCCGCCTTGCGAAAACACTCGATAGGACACGTCGCCACCCTCTATTTCTCGCCGTCAAGTTTCCGCCTCCGTCCGAATCGCGTTATCCAGGTTCTCAAAATACCTTCGATCCTTCCAGACGCTCCACTTTCCGCCATTTAAATTGATTCGACGCAAATACAGTGCCTGTTACCGAAATCAAGTTGTTGTGCAAGCTGAAAAGAAACTAGCTGTAAAAAGCGATTGAGCAATTTAACGTGCTTAATTTTTTCTTATATATTTTACATTACGTATGATTTTCATTTTAATAATGTACAGAGAAAAATGGCAAATGTGTGTATGTGCATGTGTGTATAATACATAAAAACTTCAACAAAATATATATTTGCATTCCTAAAATATATAGAAAGGAGAGAGATAACAAGTCTTTCTGTAAATTTTTAGGTCTCACTAAATTTACAACTTTTCAAGCACAACATTTAATATTAATGAAACTTTTCTTCAAACTTTTCTTCGAGCGCAACATTTTACATTAATGAAACTTTTCTTCAGAAAATAATTATTAAAATTTTAATTGGCTTCTTGTAAACGAATTAAATAATAAAGTAACAAATTTGGAATGAACGGAGTCGTTCTACATATTGGCGTGGCTCGTATTTCGTTTCGAACAAAAGTTACAGATCTTCGTTGTAATTTTTAACACGAGAAACGCACGAAGAGCGACGACTTTTAACGTTTCGCGCGATCGTTATCGTGTATTTTCTCGAGCCGCGCGCAAGTGTCAAATTGATCATCGCCTTTACCAGACGACCAGGCGGTTAATTTTCATTTAAATGAAACGACAAGCGAGCGCTGTAGGCATTCCACCACCAGGTCCGCGCGATCTCTTTCCCTTGCCCGCGAGCCAAATTGCCGCAAAACCAAGATGCAAAACGCTCTGGAAGTTCTGGCGAAAGTTTAATTGTCTTTTGCTTGCGTTCTATCCAGGATTCCGCGACCGAGACGAGGCGACGTGTCCCCGCAGCGCAATCTATAATCCGTTCGATAAGGTCAAAATTCGCTGTCTCATAATATATTCCGGAGGATATGGCAATCTGTGCTTCTCGTTTTTCTCCTACGCGTATGGGAATTCCATTAAAAACTTTTTCAGCGTCTCGAGGGATTTTCAAAAATGTTAATGAAAATGAAAAATCCTTATTTCTTCCCTTCAAATATAATGTAATAATATTCTCTCTTATAATTTATTCTGTTCTCTTACGCAAATGTTTTTATTACCGTCCGGATATTTCTTGTCAAATAATTCATTCTTCTACATGGCTTATATTAATAACAATTATTAGCAACGAGAAGTGAATTTGAAACATTTATTCAAAAGAACGGTACAGGTTACAAAAAGAGATACTGTTAAACAGGCGAAAAAAAATTTTAGATTTAAAAAAATCTTCATTTGGATCAATTAATAAATACTTCAGCTATTTGCTATAGTTTTGTGAATATTTAATTCATATTATCCGATCATGGTAAACAATCGCTCGGGACACATCTGCAATACTCGAGAAGGCCAGATTTACTTAGTCGATGTTAAACTTAATAAGATCGCTTCATGAAGCGGAGTTTGTTCATAATCGGGATCAGCGTCGATTCGACGTAGGGCGTACACGAGTGATTTGCATATTTGTTATCGCCCTGGGGGACGAAATCGATTAAACGGACGAAACTAAAATTAATTATTGAAATAATTATCGGCTTCCAACCGTAGCGCCGTCATTGAGGCTAGACATATCATTAAATTTATAAAACGTAATCTCGTGTCGAAACAATTTCTCTCTGCAAGATTGGAAAACCTAAAAGTTTCTATTCTCTTTCCGTGCCGAATAATTGACCCCGTGGGATCTGTATAATCTCATAAAATTAAATCCCATGATTTTGAAGAAGTAAAAAGTGGAGAGGGAGAGAGGCATTGTTTTATTAATGTCGTAGGCGGCATTTTATGCATCTTAAAATTTTTCGGGAGCGACGTTTTGTATTTTGACTCGCGCCGCGGCTGCAAAATATTTTCCTTGTAGTCGCATCGCGGACGTGTTTGGAAAATTTCAAAACTTTTCAAAATAAACGATGCCTCTTGACCTATCCCACGCGACTGGATTCTGAGCGATATGAACGTCCGCTCACCCCTCTAAGCCTTCTCTTCTTTCTCGCTCAGAAACAATAAACTTCTTATTTCGGTATGACGTCGCCGTCGTCATCGTTGTGTCGACTGGACCGATCGGTTTCCGCGAAAGAAAGTACATTGTGACGCACACAAGACGCTATAAATAGCATCGGCTAACGTTATCGGTATTTTACGCAAATAATTCACGTCTGCGGATTGCGCGGCGTTTATTGTCTCGCGTGTTTTCTTCGCCGAAACCATGCCGTTGCTTGACAAGCTCCTTGCGTGTTTTCTCGTAACTCCTACTTGCATCGATATATTTTCCTTGTAACTTCCTTTATATCTCTGTAAGAGAGCATAAATTTCGATATCGTAAAACCATCGTGTTTTAATTCTCTGTGTTTTAACAATATCAATTTTCCT